AAAGGTACGACATATAAATACAGACATTCTAAAACCACATCCAAACCAGATATTGATCAGAACTTAAGGTAATTTTTAAAATTTCTTCCTTGTCAGTAGTCCTTTGATTTTTTTTCAATGAATAAAATTGCAAAACTTTCAAAAACACCAAGTTTGTGCTACTATGATAGCATTTAATATAAGTTATTTCTGAGATATGAGGTGAGATGCTGGAAAGAATGCTGGGCTCCCTCACTGGTAACAATTTTTCATAAGTATAAGGTCATACCTCAAAACACTGAAACTTGCAAGGTAGTGCAGACCTTTGGAGCCTGTGATGGTTCATTTTAATTGCCAACTCACAGGGTGTTTCTGAATGAAATTAACATTTAAATCAGTGAACTATGGATAAAAAAGACTGCCCTCCAAAATGTGAGTGGGTCTCACCCAATCAACTGAAAGCCTGAAGAGACCAAAAAGACTGGCTTCCCTATAGGCGAGGAAATATCCCAAAGACCGCTATCGAACTTTATCTGCACCACTGGCTCTCCCGGGTCTCTCACCTGACTGAATACTGCAGATTTTGTACTTCCCAACCATCATAACTGGACAAGCCAATTCCTTGTAATAAATCTCTGTCTATATACCTACACATCCTGTTGTTCTGTTTCTCTTGAGAATCCTAAGACAGAGACCTTGGCGGTCAAATTTAGGCATGTAAAATCCCCAAACACCAAGGTTTATAGTGTTACTTGTTTAATTTAAAGAGTGTTTTTCGCTTTAAAGTTGAAAGATTTCAATGGGTTCACTTCCACAGATTACTGACTAGTAATAGTAGTTGAAATTTGTGGATAACTCACATATGCTATCCCATTTAGTCCAAAATTCCTGTAAGCTAGGCATAATTATTATCATATCACAGAAAACATTTCTAAGACTGGAGCATGGGTTATGGAATCAGACCAAGTTGACCTTAGGCTAGTTATTTAACTTCCCAAAGTAGCAGTTTACGCCTCTGTAAGCAAGGAGATAAATATTATCTTCTCTTGCACTTGTGTAAGAAGTAAATATGCTATAAAACATGTAAAGCACTTTGACCAGTATCTGGCCCAATGAAAGTATTTACTATGCTGCTGTTGCTCTTATAAAACTTTTGAAACATGAAGTATCTACCAAGATAATAAGGTATGGACAAAAGATACTCTATTTCTATGTTCAGTGTGTTACATAATTCTAAGAATAACTTTTTGTCAAACCAATTTGTTTGGTGTTTCTGTGTTTTTAAAAATGTTCTATATACATCTAAATGCCTGGTCTGCAAAGCCTTCCTGCAGAAGGTGGCATATTGCTAATGTACTTGAAGATGGGGACTTGAAAGATATAAAAAGGATTTGACATCTGGCATGGCGACTCAATTAATTACTGTGTTGGATTAATTAGTGAGCCGAATCTCCCGAGCCAACACCATGAGTCTGAGCGGAGTAACATTACATCAGTTGGCGAATAAGCAATTTAAGAGAGTGCACTAATCCAAATTTGATTCAAGGTTGGGTAGGGAAGGGGTAGACTCTATATTTTATTATAAGGAATAGTTATGATATCAAATACATATTATAGTGCTGTCCAAATTATGAAGAGGTAACAAAACTCCAGAAGTCTTTCAATTAATTTTTAACTGCTCAAGTTGTCTAATTACCTAACAAATATTTTGCCCATCAAGGGAAAAAACAGGTATATTTCTAATTTTTGCATATTTCCTCCCAGAGATTTTTATAAATTTATGATTCATGTTAAGAAATCATCAACAATTTTATCATGCTCAAATCATGTTACAGATGTTATACTGAGAAGGCAATGTGGCAGAGTCTTTAAAAAAGGAGACTCTGGAATCAGAAGTGAGAATTTTTATTTTCTTATCTGTAAAATGTGATTTATGATAGAACCAAATTCACAGGTTTTTTGGAGGATTAAATGAACTAATCTATTTCCATTTTCCAGTCATATATGTTAACCAATTTGATGTACAGTAGTAACAGCAGTAGGAATAATAATACTAGTAGTATTTAATGATATAAATTCAGAAGTAAATTTTGGAAGAGGATGTTATTTCAAAAGGAAAACATTTGAAAGTATATTTTAGTGAGGCAACTAAATTTTAAAATCAGGAAAAATGCTGTATTTTAACTAAATAAAATAATTTGATATTTAAATCCTAAGACAAAAGAAGAAAACTGAAGTATTAAAATTGTTTTCTAAATAATCACCCATTACCCAATTGTTGATAATCTAGAGAGTATTCATACGTTTTAAATAGTATCAAAAATTCTGAAAATTTCATATATATAAACTCCTTTTTAAAAATTAAATATGGCATAAAATAGCTTTACAGTGATACAGAACTATTAAAACAGCAAAATGACATCAACTGTCTAAAAATCAGAAATTATTTCAATGAAAAATCAAACTTTCTCAGATAGGTTTATTTTCCATCCATCACGAATTAGCATATGGTAAAAATGTCATAAAATTACCATTCTGTATACATACAGAGAATAATAGCAAGATTAATCAAAATTAGCATGTAGTAAATATATTCTTTTAATATAGTAAACTGAAAAATGTTCATCTCGCACATCAACTATAGCTGATACAGTGTAGATACACTTTTGAAGAAATATCATTCAAATGATTAAAGGTTGCATTGGTATCTGATACACTGTGATAAATAAGATAAATATGATATAGCTTACGACGTTTAGTAAGCAATGCTAGAAGACAAATAGAAACTCCCAGATAAAATAAGTTCAGAATAGCATTTAATTTAACCTTTGATGTTTAGGCGATCCTTCCCTTGCCTTTCTTAACATTCATTAGCTTGAGACATGGACATAGTTAATACTGCTCTCTGAAAGGAATCAATAGAACAATCTGTTAATACAACTCAACCAACTGAGGCCTGCATTTTGTGGCTATATCACAAATCTCTTTTGAAGTAGCTGCACGGGTCCACCTAGAACAAATTGCCCAGATTATTAAACATTTGGTCTGGACTATAAAGTCAGCTTGTTTGGTCCTTAAATACATGTGAAAACCCCTATTTCATCCTTTTATGGATAAATACATGAATTTATAAAGTAATAAATGTACCCCTGGGATCTCATGCACTCTTTAAAAGTTTGGTAACACAAATATTTCCTATTTATTCTAATCATTACTTTTAGTTGAACCAACAACCTCTGTCACATCCACATGGCACTGAATAAACAGAGATCCACACGTATCAATTTCTTTCATGTAATTATTTGAAGAAGGGATTTCCTTCATGCAATAAATCAAAAAAGGAATGTAATGTTGTTGAACCCAGTACATCTGTCAAAACCAGTCTGGGAGTTTTTACATCCCCTTAGCATAGATAGAGTCCTTTAAAAGTCATAAGACTCTTCCTACATAAATGGCATTTAGAGAGAAGGACTTTCAGTGGAATAAATACTTATAAAATGTCTGGATTCTCTAAGGAATATTAAACATTTTTCTTCCCAAATTTCATCGCCTGTATTATCACTTATTATAAGAGAGGTTTTCAGCTGTTGTTTTTCTTTTATGCCATGTGGTAGGCAGAATAGCTCCTTGCAAAGATGTTTACATCCTGACCTCTAGAACTTGTGAACATTCCTTTGCATGGCAAAGAGAAATTAAGGAAGCAAATAGAATGGAGAGTGTTAATCAGCTGCCCTTAATAAAGAGAAATTAGCTTAGATGACCCAGGTGGACAGTGTAATCCTAAGTGTCCTTAAATGTGTAAGAGGGAAGCAGAAGAGTCAGAGATGGAATGTGGACGTGAGAAAGACTCCGTCAGATGCTGGTGGCTTTGAAGATGGAAGGGGGGCTATGAGGGAAGGGCCACTGGCAGCTCTCAGAAACTGGAAAAGGAAGAAAACAGATCCTCCCGTAAAGCATCTGAAAAGGAGCTCAGCCCTGTAGACACCTTGCTTTTAGCCCAGTGACACCCAATTTGAATTGCTGACTTCCATAACTGCAAGATAGTAAGTTTATGTTGTTTTAAGGCACAAAGTTTGTGGTGAGTTGCTGAGGCAGGAATAGCAAACTAATATATCCAATTAAGAAATAAAGTTTAAATGTAACCAAACTACCTACCTTTCCATTACATTTATTTATTTATTTATTATTTTGAGACGGAGTCTCGCTCTGTCACCCAGGCTGGAATGCAATGGCATTATCTCAGATCACTGCAGACTCTGCCTTCTGGGTTCAAGCGATTCTCCTGCCTCAGCCTCCTGAGTAGCTGGGACTACAGGCACCTGCTACCACGTCTGGCTAATTTTTTTGTGTGTATTTTTAGTAAAGATGGGGTTTTGCCAGGTTTGGCCAAGCTGGTCTCGAACTCCTGATCTCAAGTGACCCACCCGTCTCAGCCTCCCAAAGTGCTGGGATTACAGGCGTGAGCCACTGTGCCCGGTCTCCATTACTTTTAAAACATCTAATTAATCAATAATCCACATAATCACACCAAGAGATAGACTTTCTGTTCTCAGAACTTTTACAAAAACACTGAACAACAAAAGTTATAATGCCGATCATTCATCCCTGCTTTTAAAGGTACAAACAGCATTACCAAGGAAAAACATAGTTGTTTATTTCTTGTTCTTCAGGTAAACCTGTAATGGATGACAATTTGTGTCATCTGAAACATAAAGGCAATTTTATATATTATTAAATGTGAACAGTCTTAGTCTGGCTAAGCAGATAAAGCAATAACCTTATATATTACCTTACTAGCCACAATTTAATATGAGTAACCTGTTTCTGTATAAATTCTGTATATATTACTGTCAGACACAAACCACTTGAAAAGTATCCAAGTTTTGCCGTCCATGAAAAAGAAAAAACAAATGGTTATTTTTAGTGATTTCATTGGAAAGCAAGCAGAGATAATTTCTGAGCTATGACAAAATATTAACCATTGATGACAAAATATTAACCATCTCAGAATATACACATACCAAAGAATTATTATTCAAGTCCATCTTCCCAGGAAACGGCCCCCAGGTTGTTCCCACCGGAAGTTGCTGTCGACTCTGAATTTTTCGTTCCCCATCTTTCTGAAACACCTCCAGCTCTCCTGCAGACAATGAAACAGAAGTGTTCAGAATACTTCCCACTTGTACTTTAACAGCAGCCACCTCCTCTTTTTGTGTGTTTGCTTTACACACATGATATTCTCAGGATTCATATAAAGAGAATTAATTACGCTTGTCTGAAAAACAACTCATCTTATCCTAAGAGGAAAATAAAAGTTGTCCTTATAATTGTATTCAAATTTAGTTCAATTTCTTCCTTTCACCTTTTCACACACATCATCTACTGAAGTCAATTTTTTTTAGTTAAGTCTTTTAGAACCAGAAACAATAACACTCCCTTAGAAAGCACTGATCTAATGACAAAACAGATAGACAAGAAACAGTAGGACAATCATTTTGCGTTGAAATTCTTGTATTTATTCAAGACTCTCGAACAACAATATCTGGAGAGTTTTTTAAGTACTTGGTAATTTTCTGAAATTACTACCAGTTTCAATAGGTAACATGGCTATGTGTACAATATATAGCAAGGCATGTTTTTCAAATAAAAAATGTTTAGATGAAGTTTTTACTTGTTTTTCTGTATTTGGTATACTGAATAGAATTCTATTGTACCAAAAGAGTTTGAACAAAAACACTTTAGAAATAAGCAGTTTTGGAAGGTCTTCTTCCTTTCATTTACTCCAGAGTAATATTTTGGAATCTATAAAGGGAAATAGGAAGTAAGGACAGTATACACACTTGCATAAAGTAGGAATTGATTAAATGCTTGCTTAAGAAATAAACGAATGGAGTAATATACAAACAAATAAAAGAAGGCCTCAATATGTCAAAAAAAAAAAAAAAGGCCAATTAGGTTAAATGTTGTTTAAGATAGGTAGAAAAAAAAAATCACAATCAGGACTTGTAGCCTCTCTTTGAAATAATTAAATCTAGGATATTTATTCCCCAAAGAGTATTACCATGCCATATCACCATACTGAAATGTTTATATTTTAAAGATTTTATCTCAGTAACCTAAATTCGTTGTTTATTAATGTTATTTCTTTTCAGCCTGATCAACAGCAGACATGAGAATGGGAAGGAATGAAATAGGAAGAAATATCATGTTGGTGCAAAACTATGGCAAAAACCACCATTACTTTTGCATCAATTTTAATGTCAATGAAAATCCATATAGAATAGAAAGCTGAGAAAAATAGAATAGAATATATTCAGTACTTATATTTTCTTTTTCTTTCTTTTTTTTTTTTTTTGTGAGACAGAGTTTCGCTCCTGTTGCCCAGGTTGCCTCTCATGTTCAAGAGATGCTCCTGCCTCAGCCTGCCAGGTAGCTGAGATTACAGGCAAGCACCACCAGGTCCGGCTAATTTCACATTTTTAGTAGAGATGGAGTTTCATCATGTTGGTCAGGTTGGTCTCGAACTCCTGACCTCAGGTGATCCACCCTCCTCGGCTTCCCAAAGTGCTGGAATTACAGGCGTGAGCCACCGCACCTGGCCTAGTAATTACATTTTCTAAATGCTATATGTCATGACAGGTAACATATGAAATTGTTGCTTTAATCTGGCTTTAGCTTCTCTTCAAGTTAGTAGCTATCTTTAAATACACAGATTCAATCTTGAGGTTTTTTTTAAAAGAAACACTGTCAGCCTGAGTTCAATTCTATCTCTTCTTTACTTCTCTATTTAGTGTCACCTCCTTTTAATAGGTTAAATACCAGACATTATTTTTCATGTTTTCATTATTGCTTATCCTGAAAACCAAAACTAAAGTATATAAACTACAATCAGCTAAAATATTTCGGTAATGGTTAAATTGTGTCCATGGTAAAATTTAAATTTATCTATATCTGAGCAATAAAGATGCAATGTTCATAAAAATTTCATGTTCCCAGTCAAAAATTTAAATTCAAGGACAACACTTCCATTCGCCTTTCTTCTCACACTCTCTTTCTTTACCACTTGAAAAATACACTGAAAATGGAGGAACACATTACATTCAGACAAACAAACATTCTCCAACGTTTGAAATTCTGGTATATCAATAGCTAATGATGATCAGCAGTGAGGAAAATGAGCCCAGAAAGATTCAATAAATCCGAACGTCTGAAAGATATAAATAGAATACGTATAGGAAATAACACATTAATGCCTAAGTACTAGATCCTGATGCTTACTCAGTGTTCAGAAACTATGGAAAGACAATAATTTGTTTTCTGTATACAGAATAACAAATCCATGTATGAGATTTTCCTCTGAAAATGTTTTTCATCTTTGTGCAATCTTTTTGATTAATGTATTGGAATCAGAGACCCTTTATAGAAACACCCTCAGAGACAGAGCACAAAGATAACAATCTACTCTGATGTCAGAGAGGAACCAGTGGGACAACACGACTTAATATATGCATATTCACATTCTTTATTGAAATATTTAGGATAATTTTCTTATTTGAAAATAAACTGTTTAATTTCTATTGGCTAGGGGTTCTCAGTATTATTTTCAACCATACGTATTTACATTTAAAACAGTTTATTTACAATTTACCATTTAAAATAAAATACATTTCAATCTCTCAGCTAAATACAAGTTAAAAAATCTTCTTTTCTACATAAAAATATACCCAAATAATTTGCTTCTTTTTACACACTAAAAAACCAGTCATGTCACATTTAAGTGATACCAGAGGAATCATGAGAATCTTTGAAAATCCTTTAAAAAAGTAATTCATCCTCTCTTTCTGCCACTGACATATTTCATTTGAAAAGGGTTCAGACTCAGTCAAACAGTGACTCCTTATCTATACCTGTGGATTTACAAGCAGCTCTGTCTTTTAATGGATTAAGAACTACAAACTTGGGGCAGATCATAAAGTGATATCCAAATGTCTCCAAAGTTTCTGAAGTGTCTTTGATTATCCATTAAAATTTTAAGCAGACCAAAAATACTTTTACAAGCTCTTAAAAGATGGCTACAACAGAAAGTCCAGTAACTGCTCAAATTATCAAGTCAATCTTTTCAACTTTACTAGACAAGCAAGAATACCCCCATCTCTTTTCTTGCTTGCCAACAAGTTATTTCAGGATTTAGAAAAAACCTTTCTGATGCTGAAATAGTTAAATAAAAACATTTATTCACAATAGCATTTCTAAAAACTACAAGCATAGTGCAAATAATTAGCATGTATATTCTACCAAGGTTACATAGCTTAATGATAGCAAAAGAAATAAAACACTGTATAAAGAGAAGTTATATTTAACTTACATATTGCTTAAGAGTACGATATTTTATTTTTTCCAAAAATTAATAGGTTTCATGAAATAAAGAAAAGATTACTGCACTAAAAGTAAGAAGATTAATTTTTATACTTATTCTGTTCAATAACCAGCTGAACGGCCTCAAATAAATTGTATCTTTTCTGAGTCTTTGGTTTGTCATTGTTAAAAGAGTGGTTTGCACTCACTCACAACTCGCTAAGGTGTTTTTCAACACTGACAGTCCATGATAGCAATTTTCCTTCCCTAGATACAATATATTATGAGAATTAGAAGGGCACTGGGCTGGTGGGCCAGAGACTTAGGTCCTCAAACCATTTTATCCAAGGATAGATGTTTGACTTGAAAAGATTAGATATTCTGAAATAAGATGGAAAAGCTCCAATTCTTATTTGATTTATTTATTCCTTTATGCCTCATTCATTTGTTTATTCATTCATTTATTCTATAAACATTTATTGGGTATCTACTAAGTATCAGACAGTGTGTTAGGCCAAAGAATAAAGCAACAAACAAAACAAGCCTGAACCTGGATGAATTCCATGAAATAAAATCCATATGGCTTGGGAAGTAAAAGTCATAGAACTTAGTGATTGTTTAGATTTTAGGACTTAGGGCAGAGAGAATCCTAGAATGTTACGCAAGTATCTCACTTAGGTACATGGGCCAACGGCCATGTTCCTGTTAAGATAGAAGAACACAGAAAGAAAAACAAGAATTAAGAGTAAAATAATGAGTTATAGTTTGGTAATGTTGATATTGAAGTAGCTATAAAGAAGGCAATAGGTGACCAGGTGCGGTGGCTCACGCCTGTAATCCCAACACTTCGGGAAGCCGAGACGGGCGGATCACAAGGTCAGGAGATTGAGACCATCCTGGCTAACATGGTGAAACCTGAAGTCCCAGCTACTTGGGAGGCTGAGGCAGGAGAATGGCATGAACCCAGGAGGCGGAGCTTGCAGTGAGCTGAGATAGCGCCACTGCACTCCAGCCTGGGGGACAGAGCAAGACTCCGTCTCAAAAAAAAAAAGAAGGCAATAGGTGATTTTAGGTAGGCAAGTATAGGCCTGGGGCCCAGACGCAAGGTCTTAACTAGAAGCAAGGTCTTGGCATTTATTCAGAAATTAAAAAAACACCTTGTATATGGTAATACAAGCCATAGGATTAAAGAGTATATCATGATAAATAAGAAGACCTAGGACAGAATTCTAAAGACCTTCAAAGGCATAGTGATGAAGGAATAGGCATAGAAACTTTAGGAGAACTGGCAAGAGACATAGAAAAGAAATTGGATATAGTACCATAGACACCAAGGGGTTGATTGAGAATTTGAAGGAGAGGGGAATCAATCAAGGAATCTGAAAATTTATGCAAGTAAGAAAAGAACTGGAGGCCAGGCATGGTGGCTCATGCCTGTAATACTAGCACTTTGGGAGGCTGAGGTGATTGGATCACCAGCTTGAGACCAGCTTGGTCAACATGGTGAAACCTCCTCTGTATTAAAACTGCAAATATTAGCTGGGCATGGTGGTGCATGTCTGCAATCCCAGCTACTCGGGAGGCTGAGGCAAAAGAACTGCTTGAATATGGGAGGCAGAGGTTGCAGTGAGCCAAGATTGTGCCACTGCACTCCAGCCTGGGTGACAGAGCAAGACTCTGTTGAAGGAAGAAAGAGGAAGGAAAGAAGGAAGGAAGGAAGGAAGGAAGGAAGGAAGGAAGGAAGGAAGGAAGGAAGGAAGGAAGGAAGGAAGGAAGGAAGGAAGG